GTCTAGGATGAAGCAAGAGGCAGAAAACGCCGCGAGAAGTCACTGTATGATCCGTCGGTATTCCTTGGCGACTAGGAAGATGCCGCCACAAGATTTAAAACCCGTACTGGATGACGCTGCGAAGATAACAGAGGCCTGCGAAATTAAAATACATTTTTGGTTTTTTTCTAGCACGTAGAGATTTTTTTATAGGTGACATGTATATTTTAGAATTTCTGCAATTTGCATGAAAACCCCATAAGTAATCAAAGTAAATCAGAAAAACGTATGTAACTTCGAAGTTAACGCCAAGAAAATTGATAACAGCCGGTTTCACCAGCAATTTAAATGGAAAATGGTTTTTTATTTTCTGTCAATTTCCATACAAATTTCCAAAAATTAAAATCATTTTTCACTTAAATTGCTTTCGTGCTGTAAAAGTTATTTTCTTAGCTTTACCGCTCATTATCAGCGAAAACTTAAAACGTTAACAAAACACCTCTTCTTCTTCTTTATTGGCGTTGTAACCGCCTAAGCGATTTGGCCGAGTCCACGCCAGTCATTTCTCTTCTGTGCTAACTGACGCCAATTGGAAATGCCAAGTGAAGCCAAGTTTTCAAGAGGCCCTCCTCTTCCTCTGTTACCAGCATAGCTGCCCGTGTTGAATATTTTCACAGCAGGAGCGTTTCTGTCCATTTGAACGACATGGCCAAGCCAGCGGAGCCGCTGAATTTTAATTCGCTGCACTATGTCTATATCATTGTAAAGCTCATACAGCTCATCGTTAAATCATCTGCGATATTCGCCATCACCAAAACGTAAAGGCCCGTAAATCTTTCGCAGAATCTTTCTCTCGAAAACTCCAAGATCCGCCTCATCATCATTGTCCATGCATCCGCGCCATACACCAGCACAGGTATGATGAGTGACTTATAGGGTGTGATCTTTGTACGACAAGAGAGGACTTTACTTCTCAATTTCCTACTCAGCCCAAAGTAGCACTTGTTGGCAAGAGTGATTCTCAGTTGGATTTCAAGGCTGACATTATTATTGGTGTTAATGCTGGTTCCCAAATAAACAAAGTAGTCTACTTTTTCAAACTTATAACTGTCAACCGTCACGTGGGTGCCAAGAGGCGTATGCTCTGTCTGTTTGTGTGATGATAGGAGATACTTCGTTTTGTCCTCGCTCACCACCAGACCCATTCTCTTTCCTTCTCTATCCAATCCCGAGAAGGCAGAACAGACGTAGTCCTTGTTTTTACCGATAACATCGATGTCGTCGGCATACGCCTGCAATTGTACGCTCTTGTAAAGTATTATGCCTGAGAGGTTCAATTCTGCGGCTCTTATTATCTTCTCCAACATCAGATTAAAGAAATCATACGAAAGGGAGTCCCCTTGTCTGAAACCTCGTTTGGTATCATACGGCTCGGCTGATTCCGCGGTAGTTGGCGCGAATGGCGGGTCGCCTTTCTTGTGGATTGGGCAGAGCACAATTAAATTCCAGTCGTCAGGCATGTGTTCATCTGACCATATTCTGCATACGAGCTGATGCAAGCACCTCATCAGCTCCTCGCCGCCGAACTTTAATAGCTCGGCTGGCAGGTCGTCAGCTCCAGCAGCTTTGTTGTTTGTCAGCCGGGTAATCGCGGACATCGGAAACTAGGTCGCCCCGATCTTGAAACCTTCCGCCAGTCGCCTACCCCTCTGGTAGAATTTTCTAGCGTTCTTCCTGTCAGCCAGCATCTCAAGCTCTTCGCACTCACATATTTCGGCCTCCCTCTTCTTATTGCGGCAAATACGTCTCGCTTCCTTCTTCAGCTCCTTATAACGGTCCCACATGGCTCGCGTTGCGCCCGATCGCAGCGTGGCCCTATAGGCGGCGTCTTTTTTCTTTGCGGCTTCTTAACATTCGTCATCGTATCAGTTGTTCTTTCGGGCTCGCTGAAATCCAACTACTTCTTCGGCGGCGGTACTTAATGATCGGGAAATGTGGTTCCACTGCTCGCGTATGTCGGATTGCTGAAGAGTGCTCTCAGATGGCAGGTGTGTGAGTCGAGTGGCGAATAAATTGGCCATCTGTTGTGATTGCAGCTTTTCGGCGTTAAGCTTTCCTTGCATTGCTGGGCGCACACTTTTTGTTGCACAGAGGTGGGTGCGTAGCTTGGCTACAATAAGATAGTGGTCCGAGTCGATGTTTGGCCCTCAGAGTGTATGTACGTCTAAAACGCTGGAAGCATGCCTTTCGTCTAACACAACATGATCGATTTGGTTTCTCGTTTTTCGATCTAGTAATCTAGTACTATATGTTACCATGTTTGGGGCTCCGGCGAAGTCGATCAGCCTCAGTCCGTTATCGTCGACGAGGCTGAATTTTCCGACAGTTGCGCCTTACTTGGCCACCTTGGCATTAAAATCGCCGAGCACGATTTTGACATTGTGTCTGGGGCAGCGCTCATATGTTCGTTCCAAGCGCTTATAGAAAAGATCCTTTGACGCCTCGTCCTTCTCTTCCATCGGGGTATGGGCCCAGATGACCGAGATGTTGCAGAATCTAGCTTTTATGCGGATTGTTCCGGGGTGAATGCCAGTACTCGGCGACGGAGTCTCTCTCCTACCACGAATCCAACACCAAATTTCCGCTCCTTTACGTGGCAACTGTTGCAGACGTCGCACTTACTTTTCCTTGTCCCGTCCATCGCAGTTCTTGGATGCCGGCGATGTCAGCCTTTGTCTTCCCGAGGACATCAACCAGCCGGGCAGAGGCACTTTCCCCATTAAGGGCCCGGATATTCCAGGTGCTCAAATCATAGTCCTTTATACGTTTGCCGTGGCCATCATCAAAAAAGGGGGTCTCCTCCGAGGCTTGTTGGAATTTTTCATTGGGCGGTGTTTTAGCGTGGTGGGACCCAAACCCAGCACACGCGAAGTTTTACGCCTCTCACTTTAGCTCGCTCCCAAACGGGTGTTTGGTTAATTCCCAGAGGATACGTGGATATAAATATCCGGACGTGTGAGCTGCGATTTGAACCGTACGCAAAAGAATCGCTTCTGGCCACTCCCAGGTGAATACGAATTGTCGAATATTTTCCCAACATTGACTCTGAGGATGTCTACAGCTGGATAACAAACCCGTTTCAATGTGAACCGCAAAGTAAACCTACTGGGATGACCAACCAACTGGCTGAGTCAGTGGGATCGTCGGTTCGAAGCCTACTGAAAGAAGTCTGATGAGGAAATGTGGTGATTTACGAAATAGCTATCACTCCTACCATTTTTTCAAATTATTGTTGCTTTTCCACAATAAATTTTCATTAAAAAAAAACGGCCTCGAGCTCAATAAAAATTGTTGAATATAATTGTTATAAGGCCAAAAAATAACAAAAACAAATAACTTAAGGACGAGCACACCTAAAAGTTAAACATTCTAAAAAGAGAATTATTAGCAAAAACCAACAATACCAACAACCACATGATCAAGTGAATTGCAGCGGAAAGCTGCGCTTGATTGTGTTGGCATAACAAAAATGAAAATAGTGGAAAAAAGCAAACGATAATTTACAAGGCGTACTTAGCACGGTGCATAGGCAACTGGCTGAGTCAGTGGGATCGTCGGTTCGAAGCCTACTGAAAGAAGTCTGATGAGGAAATGTGGTGATTTCCGAAATAGCTATCACTTCTACCATTTTTTCAAATTATTGTTGCTTTTCCACAATAAATTTTCATTAAAAAACCGCCTCGAGCTCAATAAAAATTGTTGAATAAACAAATAATTTTTATGCAAAAAACAAAACCGACTTCAATTCTCAAAAACAAATTTAAGATTATCGGTTATCTCTTCATGATGCAATGATCGGATTTAAACCAAATTAGAATGGGACCGCCTGTGAGATAACACCTTTCCTCTAAAAAAAGAGTTATAGTAATCGGTTTACGTGGTATAAAGTTATGCGGTAACATACATAAAAAAATAAATATTAATAAAAAAATATTTCGACGAATTGATAACCTTCTCCTTTTTGTGAAGTCAGCGTCAAATGATTTCAGGGTAAAATTGTCAAAGCTCCAAATTAAACTTAAAGGAAATAATGAAATCATCAAAACAATTTCAGTCCTCACATTAATGCTAAAGGAGCATAAAGTTTGCATTGTGTTTTCTTGTTTTGGTAAACATTTGAAGAGTAGGGGTGACGCGAACTTTTTTTTAGCACAACACGGGTGCCGCGGTGAATAAAGTTTGGGAACCCGTTCCTTAATACATACGTACGTACATATCCACACCTAGATCTAAAGAACGATTAAGTAAAAAAAAAAATTGGGCGCTTTTTTTGCATAAATCAATTTATAGGGCTTACATCCAATGGAAATATTTTTTTCTTCATGATTATATACATAAACTAAAAAACTACTGTTGTACCTGTTTTTGGATTAATTGCGTTGAATCTTTACAATCCACAAGCAGTTAAATTTTGAGTTAGCTCACTTTACATCTAGTTGTGCGATATGCGCATACATATATGTATTTTTAATACATATTTACAATGTTTTACAAGCATTTTATTTCTTATTTTTAATAAAGATATTGTTCATGCCTTAACCAAAACCATATAAATCCAACTTTCAATGTTTATACAAAATTAAAAAAATAGTAGAATTTCCAAAATGTTTTAGCCTGTTAAATTTTCGTAAATTTTTAATATATGTTTTTTTTTTTGCTGCTTTCGCATTTTCTTCCACCACAATTGTTTATATGTAAAAAAACTTGCACTAACATGTTATAAACTGAATACGGATAAAGAAGTTCAAGATTTGTTGAATTTTTCTAATGTTGTACATATAAAGTTTGAAAGTTTGATTTGTATGTTTTTGGCCAATGCATGAATAGTATTGTTACAAAAAAATAAAAAATAAAAATTTAGCATGGAAAACATTGTAAGTTTAAAAACCACAATACATCAAGTTTTAAGCGCCAGGGTATATACGGAAGTCCATAATTCCATTTTAATTTCATTGTTACAGGCTTACCACTTCTGTGGACTTACCTACAGAGTTTATACATTTGTATATTAGCAACTGCATATCTACATGTGAAACTGTTAAGGACAAATACATGCAATCTCGTCTGGTGCGCCTAGTTTGTGTCTTTTTGCAGTCACTTATAAGAAACAAAATTATTAATGTAAAGGTAAGTAAATTGCTTCTTAAATATTTATCTTCTGTCAAGCTAACTATACACTTCTTAAATTTCAAATAAGTACGAAATTTTCCAAAAAGAACAGCGGATCTGCAAAAGAAGAGGAAACACGTTTTCCGGTCGAAGGCTTGTAATACAGTCAAATTAAGGTTGAAAATAGTTAATCTCACGATTTTTTGCTGTTCCAATATTCTTGCGGAAGATTTTAAGAGATTTCATGTGAACGACGATTCTACACATAACCCAGGAGCCCCCTAAACTACTGCTCGCGTCGCACACTGGGGCCTAGCGTGCTCAAAATTAAATTAAAAAAAAAATGGTTTCTTTGGAAAAATAAAAACGCAGGTTCAGGTTTTACCTTTCTATCGTTTTTCGGCTGGGAGATATGCGTGTCCAAACTTGACAAATTTGAAAAAAAAACTTTTTTTTTTTACCTGAGAAATTCAAATGTGCAATTCAAATTGTTACTGTAAGAAAGCGGTATTATATTTCGTTACTTTGTTTTTTAAATGAAGTTTATGTATTTATTGGTGTATTTTGTGTATGATTAAAAAAAAACTATACTGACCTCTGTTTTTTGCCATCACTTTTTTCAAAATCACTTTTTCTTAAATGCGCAAAGCGCTTTTAAATTTGACAGTGCTGCAATAAAGTATGTTCCTTCCTTACTAAGATTCCGGGTTCAAAACCAAAAGCACTTTGCGCATTTTTAAATAAATTGGTTTTAAAGATTTCACTTAGATTTTAATTAAACACAAAAACATATACTTCTGGTTAAGGTTGATTCTGTTTCAATTCGAACTTTAACTCTTTATTATTTTTAGGTTGTTCAATGAATAAAAAGCGGATTTGGTTCTAACAAGGACTGTAAACTCTTTAGTGAGAAGCGGATTTAGTTCGAACAAGGACTTTAAAAACTTTAGAGAGATCAATAGTAGGAAAACGAGTCCCGCTGAATTTAGGAGACGTTTTTAATAGATTGCTAGTTTCATTAGATCCTCTGATTTCTTGCTCGCACTTGCTGTCAGTGGTCACCAACCGGAGATCTTTCTTTGCTGAATCAATGGAGTTAGTATAACTTGAAGGGAATTATATTAGTTTAAAGGGGCTTGGATGGGATTTAGATTCCGACTATGAGGAAGTAGTTTCACGGTTTTCATTATATGGTGCTTATCATATATATATGACAAGTTTTGACTATGTTTTTTTCTTATTTAATTTTAAGTATTTTTTTTTAATATAGTTTATTTTTTAACAAAAATCGAATAAGGCTAAGTTTCAAACTTCGTAAAAATATCGATATTTTTGATTAGATATTTAAAACGATTTTGTGTGCTAGTTTGAAGTAGCTAGGACATACCATTGATTTTTGGCAAGTTTTTTAGTGAAGGTGTCGCTCATTTTCTCTATATAAAAAATTCGTCTAACATACTTCGTATGGAAATACGTAAGTCCTAGCTATTTCAAACTTGCACTTTAATTGGGTTACAAAACTTCATACTCAAAATCCTTTTAATTATTTTATATAAAGATTTTTGAATTGGTTCGTAAGATATACGTAATTAAAAAAAAAAAACATTTTTTGCTTTAAGCTGAATAACGGTAAATTGAAAATGTCTCGAAAACCTATCAATAGAAAAAAAAATTAACTCGATTTTCGGAATAACTCAGCGCTTCTACATAGCAATTGGATAGTAGCATTCATAGAACATTTTTTCTGTAAACCAGTGTAATTGGATCATGAAGAAATTAACGATAATCTTAAATTTGTATTTGAGAATTGAAGTCGGTTTTGACTTTTGCTTAAATATTACTTGTTTGCATTTTATTTAATTTTTTTTTTTAATAAAAGTATAGCTGATTTTTTAATTAATTAATGTTTTTGTTTAGATACATTACTTGCTTTTCGATATTTTGTATGCTTAAATTGAGAGTATCTTTAAATTTAAAACATAATGGGTCATAAGCGAATCAAAGACGAGACTGAAAATAATTTCGACTTTTTTGACAAATTTTTCTAAAAAAGTGTTGAATTTATTTTTCCTTTCAACTTTACTTTAAACAACTCATTTATCCCATTTTGTTTTACACTGAAAGGTAAATTTTTGTATCTATTATTTCCTATCTTTTACTATATAAAAGATCTCTATATAAATAACTTCACCTGTTTCATGCTCTTTCCTAGTGATTACAACAAATACACACTTAGTTACTGTTACTACATTTTATCGCTTTTAACTTAGTTCTAAGTATTGCGAATTCATTGGTAAAGCTATCATCAAATCGAAAGGACTCGTTCTTCCTGATTATATTGTAACCTAAACTTACCTATTTTTAATAAAATTAGCTGTGGAAATACTCTATAAAAAATTGGCCACTAATGGGTTAAAATATGGTCATCAATGCGTTAAGTCAAAGTCGTAAATGGGTTAAATTATTCATTTGCTCAATAATAAAATCAAATTAACTTAACATAAGATATTAGTCGGCCGCTGTGGTGTAGTGGTAAGCAGTGCGCGCTTCCACTTCGCAGCACCTGGGTTCAAGCCCTGCTCAAAGCAACATCGCAAAAAAATATAGAAAAAAGGTTTTTTCTTAACAGCGGTCGTCCGTCCGCAGGCAATGGCAAACCTCCGAGTGTATTTCTGCCATGAAAAAACAGCTTCTCATAAAAATACAATCGCCGTTCGGAGTCGGCGTAAAACTGTAGGTCCCTCCGCTTTGTGTGCTTATATCAAGACGCACGCCAACAGTCGGAGGAGAAGCTCGGCCAAACACTAACATATGTGTAAGCGCCAATCTATTATTATTAAGATATTAAAAAAAACTGGGTCACCAAAGGGTTAATGCATGATCATTAATGGGTTAAGCGTCAGAAATTTACTCTTAAGAAGTAGTTCAAGCGAGTCTAACGGCTGAGCATGCGGGCATGCTATGATTTTTGCTAACGGGATTTAATTTTGCTTATTCACAAGTACATAGTACATACAGTGTCGGACACACGGTTGCAATGGTAGCAAGCATAAAATTTGCAAATGCAAATCCAACTGTAAATCCAAAACAATTTCCGTAACATCCTGAAGAGCCCTATAGTTTACCAGACTAACAAAAAAAAAACTGAAAAGGACAGTTCATAAAATTGTCGAGTGTCAACTGCCAATTTACCAAAACTACCAAAATGGATGTGAACCCTCTTAGTGTAACATTAGCATTTATTAACTGATAAATAATTTTGACAGAACAAATTACCTCCTACTTTTCTGTCTCTTTCAAATCAGTGTGCAAATTAACGATTTGGTTACAATTCTAGAACAAATTTAATGTAACTAAAAGCACGGTTGTTGAACAAAACTAGATAAATACATGGTTGTGTTTTTGATTACGTGTTCCCGTAACATATTTTTTACATACATACATATATAATTTAGTGGGAAAACTAAAATAAAAAAATCGTCTTTACGGGGGAAAAATCGTCAAAACGTCATTGAGTTAAAAAAAACGTCAAAATGACGACGAAATCGTCAATTCGGCAACGCTGCATCGTGTTGTTTTCGAATTTGTACGTAAATACACCCGTATCAGCTGAAGCTTGCTCAATTTGGAAATTCAGCAAAAAATTTATTTTTATTTATTTATTCCACTGTCTGGAAGCTTGCTTTAAACCAGCGGTCGGCATTCTAACACATTCAAACGATTCAATAAGTGTGCGTTAAATGCAATGCTCAGCTGCCGCTCTTCGTATACATGTGAAACAAGGTTCATAAAATAGAAGGTTGCGATATGGTGCTGTCAAAAATTTGTTTTCCTCCAATGTCGTAGTTGCGAAGTGAGTTCTGATTGGCTGAAATATTTTACGGAGAAGGAGAGTACACAAAACGCAGAAAATATAGTTGCCGTATAGCATATTTTAGGAATCGTAATCAAATGGGCATTTTTGATATAAACTCGTGGTAAAGCTTATTATAACAACATAAAATGTTATAACTTGACGTGAAACTGGATTAACATAATAATATTCGTACAATAGTGACAAATGAAATGTAAATCGAATGCTTATTGAAATTTGCTGGTGATTTTTTTCTTGAAAGTGGGCAGAACGCACTGGCGCATTTTTAAATAAAATGCGTTCATAACGTTGGCAAAATTTCGCTACCGAAATTGCAATTCATCTTTAGACATACGGTAAAACCGAAATTACCCTTTTTAGTGTAATTTTTCCAATCCAAAACAGCGCACTTAAATTTTTAATAATCTAAATAAACTCAAAGACGCAGAAAAAATCACAAACTTCAACGCAAATGGTCAAACGGTAAATATCAGAGTTACATATATTTGAAATAAAACTTGATGTATTTTTGACTAAAATACTCTATTTTTATAAGATATTTTTTTAGGAATCTGGCAACTCCAAAAATTGAGCCATCTACGTCATCAAGATGGCGGCCATGGCTGATGTCGTAACCTTGCATTCTATGAACTTTGCATGTGAAACACATGTGCTCAGGGACCGCTCAGGGAGCTATGGCCTGCTGACCACTGCTTTAAACCATGCAAGCTCTTTTGCAGTTTACATACTTTGTCATTTTGTCGATAACCATATGGCTGCTCCATACAGATTTTTTCTTGTATGTGGCCATGTACGAAAGCTATCTCAACGTCAAATTGAATAATTTGCATGTTTTTCGCCGCTGCTATAGATATTACTGTCCTTACCGACTCATATCGAACAACTGGCGAGAACTCTTCCGTATAATCTACCGCGCGAATTAGTGAACAGCCTCTAACAACTAGCCTAGCTTTATATTTTTTTTATTTTGCCCCTTGAGTCATATTTCCATTTAAAAATCCATCGATTAGTCAACACATGCATATCGTCAGTGCGTTCGACGCGTGTCCAAGTTTCATTTTTCTTCACAGCATTTAATTCGTCATTAACTGCTGCTACCCATTTCACACTGCTTCGCTCTCTAGTGCCTCTTCTATACTCGAAGGTTCAAACTCAGTGTTGCCAACTTTTGATTTTCTGAAAGCACCAAAAACTTGGAAAAGGCGTTTTACCAAACTAAAAGCACCAATTTTTTTTTAGTCAAAGGATGCTTTTTTCGTAACAGTTTGTATTTAACAAAAGCAAAAAATTAACAATATTAACAAAAATACATACATAAATCAATACACAAAACGTTTTCGCTCATAACGATTGAATAGCCTCTACACATGCCATGATGACTCATGCTTACGACGTAATACCGAAGTACTATTAAAACTAGTATATCTCGAGAAAGCAAAATCGAATCGCAACAAACGAAAATAATGCCCTAAGTAGAAATGAGCAAAAAATTTGATGTTTTCATTATATAACCTCAAATATCGCAAAAAACTGTGTTTTTGGCGATCTGGGGGTAGGATATCTAAAAATTCTAGTACTAGAGCAATTGTGCGGCCAGATTTAGATTCAGCACCAAGAAACTATGTGTTTTACTCAGGTGGTAAAAAATCAAAATTTATACAAACAATTAGAAAAGAAAAAAAAAGAAATACTTAACTT